GATGGAGGTGGAGCACTTGTCCCATGCTTCACATGTTAGATCTACTCATTGTCTGACGTGTAGTCAAGAGAATGTATAGAATTAATTCATATATACCTTGTGATGCTATGAAGTGGATCTTCTTGGTTTTATCGGGGATGATAAGCGTTGGGGTATTTTTCCAGAGGACGCAATTCAGATAATGTGGGAGTCACTGGGTTTGCGAACCTGGGTTATCCATGGAACTTGAACGATGGTCGATTTCTTAGCGGTTATGTCTTTACAATTTTTAGTTGTGCGGTGAGTTTGGAAGGCATTATTGAGAGACACGATAGTTTCGTCAACGACTAAGCTTGAAAACATGGTGACAACAAAAGAAGTTGAAGAGGCAACGAGGTCTAATGACTTAGTGATGTTGGTATGGAAAATCGAGTTTATGCGGTGTTTAGTGGAAGCTGGAGATATCATTGGTGACCAATATCTTTGTGTCAAAAACTGTAGGTCAAGAGAAGATGTGACAGCAAAGAAGCTTTTTGCAGTGGAAAATCCAGCGGACATGTGGACCGAGTTCATTACTCTAGGATAGTCCAACTTCAAATTGGGCCTGTTAGATGTTTGTAATGGTTGAGTGCCCATCGGGGCATCGAGAGAGCCGGCATAGATAATGGGCATAATGACTAAACATCGGGCCAAGGTGGAGAATTGTAAAATTATGTCTCGATTTTGAGCTCGTGAACGAACCCTATCCAAAACCCAACCGTGTGATTTACATTAAGAAAGTCTTGATTGGACTTTTGGTTGACCGAACATAAGAAATAACAACAGCCCAACCTTGTTGGACTTTTTGCTTCCTTTTAACCTACTTCTAATGGACCGTAAGGGACTGCTGGAGTTTTGGAGATATTGTCCGTACATCTTCCACGGTGAGCGTGTGCCCGAAAGGAAGTCTAGGCGGATTTGCTGGAACTTCTGAACGAGCATCCTAATATGGGCTTTAGATCAATGTCAATTTTGGATAGACGTCTTGACACTTTTTCGTGCCTTAGTGCAGAAGTAGAATTCCGTCATTTGTTTTTGACTTTAGGGGTGCTGTATCAATGTATAGTCTTATTAGATGTTCACGACTTCTGCTAGTGCAGCGCACAAATTGCATACTTTACGTAATGAGTACTGATAGATTCTCCAGTTTCTTTATGTTGTTGAAATGAAACCATTACTCGTACAATTGGAAAACAACCATCATGTGGTTTTTGCATTAAATAAGGAAAGCATATTGTTTAGTATCATGCCGTCTCTTATTCTGTCTCTCTTCCATAGCTTTATTAGAGAAATTTAACAGGAAAACAACTTTAGTGGCCCCGATGACGGCTTTCTTCTTCAATTAACATCCTGAACCCGGATCCGGCGCAGGTGCCGGTGGGTTGCCTCCATATTGTAGTTTGTAGTCATCCCACAATTCGTACACAGACTTCCCGAGCAGCTGCACGAAGAAAGCATCGCTATAGTAATACCTCATCATGGCATTTAGGTCGGCAATGAATCCGTCCCTGAGCCCGCTACAGTACTCCAGAAAGTATGCCGTAACAGCATATCCTTCGTCCCAACTCGAGCCCGACCCCCTTGGTACCCAGTCCTTCGACGGCCATCCCGAGGTCAACCTGATGTAATCAGCAACACCAGTGATAAGGCCGCTCGGGGCGGCACCATTGGCAGTCCATTGCCAAACGCGCGTGCTTTCATGATACAGAATTCCAGTGAACTCGGCTTTTACGTCGCCAATATAAGCCTGAACATAGTCGGCGTTTAGAAGAATCTGGTTGCCTCTGGTAATGGCGACTTGGAGGGGGTAGCTTCCGAGTCCACTTCCCTGAAAGCTCGTGACGATTGCCTCTATAAACGAGTAGTTCTGCCCTCCTCCTAGGGTTTGCTTGAAAGTCTTCAAAACGAAGTTCGAAGCCTCAAAAAGAGTTAAGCTAGTGTAAGACGCCCCGATCTCATGCTTGAACCTAGTGTCCGGGGTGCCACTGGTGTTGTCAAATACAACAGATTCGATCCCGACCACATTGGTTGGTTTGAGAGCAATCAGGGTGATGAGAAGAACAAAGAGCTTCATGGGGCTCATGTTGAAGAGGAGCTACAACTGAGTTGGCACTTTGTGGTCTTGCACATTGCCCTTAACGAGCGTACTGCTGTCTTTTTATAAGGTGTCTCAGCAATGAAAAGTCCGGAAGTCAGTTGAACTTTAGTGTTGACTTTGGCCATCCTCGAAGTTTTTTGAGAGCTGGCAGGCCTCATTGGTTCTGTCGCATAGTTTGGACATCTCAGATGTAACAAGGAGGGGGTAACTTCAATTAATGTGCAGGAAACATAACTGTTAACTATGAATAATCACCCAAATATGTTAAATCAGTAACAATTTGCCTAATCCTTTTTACATTCTGTCGTCGAGTTTGATCTCTAACACAAAGGGAGTATCCTTAATGAGTAAAAAAATTTGTGAGAGACATGGAGACCACTCAATAACTTTATCCAAGAGAGTCGAGAGTGTGAGAAAACTCTTTTCTTATGATTGGTTCTTATGGATGCGGGTTTAATCTAGGAGTGGGAAATACTAATGAAAGAGCATGATCGAGCAATTATAATACCATCTTTGCCCATTATAAGGAAATCATCTCGTCGATCTCTTTTCATAGAGCATGCATGCAGCGGAATTACGTAAATCTGCTCTATTCACATTTTATTTCAGCAACACATTTCTTACTCAAATCGTTTCGATTGCACACGCTTCCATCCTAGTTCTAACAAACTCAATGATCCTTTTAAGGTTAGTCAAGATACAAAAGTGAGCCAGGTCCTTACCAAAAAAAAAAGTGAGCCAGGTCAAGCCAGTATAGATACTATGCTTATCCAGATTCAACCCAAATGTAGAATTTACCTGCTGTACATACCACCTCAACTTAACGGCGAGTACCCAAAATTACCATATCATATCCACACACTCGCATTATTTAGATCCTTTATATATGGATCGAAAATTTCCTGGAAACATGATACCGTATATATGCATCGAAATGAAGTTGATTTGGGTTGCCAATGAACAATATTTTGCGACACAAATAAATTGCAATGCTATCGGTAATAAGAGGATCCATTGAAAATTTGTATATATTGTTTGCATCGATAGTTAGATAACTAAGAAAATTAACTCTTCTTGACAATTAATGAGGGGTAGTGATTCTTGTATATTCTTACCGTAATCTTCATTTCAGTCGAATGTAAACAAAAGCCTATTGAGGATTAAAATTACCCACGGTTGTATGGAAGGAGGGAGACTCGTTTCGGTTATGATTTCTTCTTGTGATCTCACATGATGAGTGCTTTTCTGTGTACTAAGCATACTCGTATTCCTTCGTGTTGTACATCCAACGTCTGTGATGAAGAGTTTAGGGTTTTACATAATACCCTCAACCGTCTGCCATCAAGAGTTCAACGCAAGCGACAGTGTCACTGATGCGACACGTGATCATAAGTTTTCGACATATTTAAGGTTGTACGGAAGGAGGAAGACTTATTTTTATTATTACTATGCTCCAAAAACCGAAATCATTACAATAATTCATGAACCGATAATTTTCCTCAGTGACAGACCAACTATCATGTATAAATCAAGCAGAAGCATCATATTCTTTGTGTTGTACGATAGGACTACTTGTGCTTATGTTGACGATGATAACAACAAACGAGCAAGGTTTATATAGAATATAAAAAGATGACTGAATAGTGGATATGTCAATAAATCTGACAAAATTATCGTATTAATTAACTACCTATGTGGAATCCGGCACTAACAAAGGAAGGAAAAAGATATATAATAATTTCATTGGTATATAATTTAAAGTTGGACGGGAGTAATGTTTATTGCATAAAATCTCGAAAAATAAATTGCTTTACTATTACTTGAATTCAATATATGCATAAATTATAAATCAACATATTTCTCAGAGAAAAATATTTATATGTTATTATGTTGACCCCAAAAAATGACCGACTCTTGAAATCGTCGAGAATGAAATTCGGCCAACAAGGAGGCCTTCAGGAGTTAAGTTGGTTGACGAAGCCATCGACAGAATTATAGACAACAAGCATTAACAAATTGTTGCCAAGTGTTGAAGCAGAATGATCGATTAATGGAACGGAGATCTGCTCGCATGTCAGTACAAAGATGTAGCTGCCAAGTAGTGGTGCCAACAAATTCGATTGTAACTTTTTATATATAACTTTTGCTAAATAATTGGAGCCACGTACGGCACGTGTAACTCAATAACACTACTTGTAAGTATCCGTCGACAAAGGGCTATCTAAACCCACATTGTATTTTACTTGCCCAAGCGATTACAAAACAATTATTATTTCTTACTTTCTAGATTTTATATTTTCCAATATCGTTTACTTTTCTGTCAACAATTGTTCCTAGTATTCATACGTATCATATACTTTTTCTATCCAAGATCAACAAGGACCCTCCAGGACCTTTGTCAATTAAGTCGATCCATCAAATTTAAAGGACATTTCACTTTCTTGGAGAAATATCTTTCGGCACAATGATGGGACGGCTTTTGTTATGACTGAGGACATTGCAATGGCAACAATTAGGGTTTCGGATCATTGTCAAATTTTGTTAGTTGTCTAACCCTTTTTTCATTGCTTAAGTGCAGAAGTAGCATTCTGTTATTCGTTCGACTCCTAGGGTGTTGTATCAATGTACAGTTTTGTAAGATGTTCAAGACTCTTGCTAGTCCATAGCACGAATTGCGTACTTTTCTTGATGAGAATTCTGTATTCATGTTTTTTGGATAGATTCTGTAGTGTCTTTATCTTTCTGAAATGAAACCATGTCTAGAACAATATCATCCATCATGCGGTCATAATTCTAGCATATGTTTTATTTCCATAACAGGAAAATTAGAGAAATTTAACAAGGAAACAACTTTAGTAGCCCCAAGGACGGCTTTCTTCTTCAATTAACATCCCGAACCCAGTGCCGGTGCAGGTGCCGATTGTAGTTTGTAGTCGTCCCACAATTCGTATACAGACTTCCCGAGTAGCTGCACGAAGAAAGCATCAGTATAGTAATACCTCATCATGGCATTCAGGTCGGCAATGAATCCGTCTCTGAGCCCATTACAGTACTCCAGAAAGTACGCCGTAACAGCATATCCTTCATCCCACCTCGAGCCCGACCCCTTCGCAACCCAGCCTTTCGACGGCCATCCCGAGGTCAACCTGATGTAATCAGCAATGCCAGTGATGAGGCCGGTCGGGGTGACACCATTGGCAGTCCATTGCCAAACGTGTGCGCTTTCATGATACAAAATTCCAGTGAACTCGGCTTTTACATCACCAATATAAGCCTGAACGTAGTCCGCATTTAGAAGAATTAGGTTGTCGCTGGTACTTGCGACTTGGAGGGGTTGCCATCCGATCCCATTTGCCCTAAAGCTCTCGATGGTTGCATCTATAGACGTGTAGTTCTTCTCTCCTCCATAAGTTTGTTTGAAAGTCTTCAAAACGAAGTCCGAAGCCTCTAACAGAATGATGCCGGTGTAAGACGCCCCCGATTTCTTGCTTGAACCTAGTGTCCGGGGTGCCGGTGGTGTTGTCAAATACAACAGATTCGATCGGACCGAACCCGATCACATGGGTTGGTTCGAGAGCAATCAGGGTGATGAGAAGAACAAAGAGCTTCATGGGGTTCATGTTGTAGAGGAGATACAACTGAGTTGGTACTTTGGGGTCTTGCACATTGCCCTTAACCACCCTACTGCTTTCTATTTATAAAGTGTCTTAACAATGGAAAGTCCGGAAGTCAGTTGAACTTTAGTGTTGACTGAGGCCGTCCTCGAAGTTTCTTGAGAGCATGCAGTGCTATGGCTGCTGTCCTTTTCGACGGTCAAACAAAGCCTTACATGCGGCGTTGCTTATGTACATTGTTTGAACCCTTCGAAGGGAACAAGATAGAGGTGGTAATACATATGTTCAACTATGAATAATGACCTATGACCAAAAAAAAACACTATGAATAATGACCAAAACTAAGTTAAATCAGTAACAATTTGCGTCCATCATTTCAATTGTTGCAATTACAACTTTTGACATGTCCAATGCTTATCCTCAAATAAGAAATATCAAGATTGATCTAAGTAGAAGAGAATTAAATAGATCAGGCTGCGTTTTTTTCAAGGAAAATGATTTACCGGTAAATGTTTTCATCGCCGTGTTTATTTGGGAGAGAATAAGCTAATCTAGGAACATGATTTCGCTAGCGATTCTTCTAGCTCCAGCCTCCGAAGTGCATGTTCTTCTTGCCCTCACCTATCGAAAGAATCTGTCATGGATGGTGCTTTCCATCTTGGTACAACTAACAAGTTGCAAAGACCTTTAGGGTTATCCGTGGCACGGATTTTATCTCATTTGGAATCCGATCGATAATGAAAATGCAAGGAAATCCGACCAATACTAGAAAAGTCCAAGTCGAACTCTTGGCAACAAGATTGTGGGTGATGCAAAATAGAGAAACTAATTTTCCCCAGAGACTTCTTTTCCTTATTGAAGTTGCAGTCCATGTTAACGTCGGAGGAGGGCTCATAGTTTTCTGCATATAAATATTTTGTTATTGAATTTGGTCTCTGGTGCATAGATATGTGTGAAAACTAGAAAGAGTCATAGAGAGCACTGACAGTCGTCGTTCAAGAGAGTTGAAAGTGTGAGAAAACTTCTCACATTTCAATACCTACATATTGCATCTCCCCAATCTAGAAAAATCTCATTTGCCCTCATGCACACTCAAAATCTACACCCAAAACCCTCTCACACTTGCCCTTTCTCTCTCCTCACACGTAGTAGCTACACCCTTGCCCTCAGCCGACAATGACACCCGCGCTACTGCGAGACCACACGAGCTCAGCCAGTGCTCGTGGCTCACAATCACCATGCCCATGCGAGACTAACGAGCGTTGTGGCCAGCCACAAAGCTCGGTCAGCGACCTTGGCAGCCAGATCGAGGTTGTTCGACCATGATATGGCCTTGAACATGCGTTGCGACCTAAGTGGTCTCAAATCTAAGGTCGATGCCAGCCTCTGAAGGAGCGCTTGCTGAAGAGGGGTTAGACATGGTGACGGTGGGTAAATGTTTGGTTTTTGGAGATATCCGTGGAAGATTAATTGCTGATTGTCCAAATAGGTTATGAATGCTAACATCTGTACACTACATTATCTAGGCAAGTGTCACGAAAGTTGAACGATGTCAAATAACTTTTTTTTCAGTCTATTTGCACCTAAAGAGCTTGACCTAAAGCATAATCAACGTGTAGACACCTTCTGATAGGAGGTTTACAGTAGACAGCTATCTAAAAAAAGTGAAATCATTACCATATGCACAACTCTCTCATTTGGTTATAATGTTTCCATACAATCTATGGAGTATTAGGCATCAAAATTCAGAGATTAAATGAATATGGATAGATACATTACTAAATCTTTATTTTCCCAATTGAGATGCTTCAAAAGGTTATGTTCATAAGTAGTCGAAACAAATTTTCTCGAATTGACAGGAGTAGTACAATGCGAAACAACTCGACGCTTTATAAAAAACTTAATAAATTTTCGGTACCTTTTTCGTTTACAATCAACCTCACCCAAATTTTATCATTTCTCTGCTAAGCAATCGACATAGTTTGCAGAGCAACTTTGGCTATAGCTCTTACTAAATCGTCATTTTGGAATCGAATTCTCAATCTAAATAGAGACACGCATTGCTTAAGCACCCTTAGCAAAACTGAGGTGATCACGACTTTTACTTCCTTTGCTAGTTTTGCACTCAGCGATCTTCAATTTTTCTCCAGAATCTACTTCTTGATTTCCATTAGCAAATTGAGTTATGTAGTACGTGTGCTGAGTTGAAGGTAATGGACTTAAGTTTCTTAAGCCACTGGCAATCTAATTTTTAACCTTAATTTGTTATCTTCTTGATGAATTAAGTATCTGTAAGAAATTACTTTCCCCTTGCTTTATAATTCCTATGCTTCCAAGACTATATTTTGGTGAAGATTGGGAAAAGAAAAGTCTGACTTTCTGAGTGGCAATCAGCATGTTCAAAGATTTAAGCTTTGAAATGTTCATTGAGCACATGAAGACACTTGCTAAAGCTTACTAATGTTCAGTGCAGGAAGAGATGGATACAAGATCTGTTGGAAACAGATGCGGAAAAAACAAATACAGAACACGGGGATTTATATGGTTCGATCACAACGTGATCTACATCCACGGGCGAGGCAAGACAAGATTCCACTATAATCAAAGAGAGTACAATTTTCAGAAGTCGAAACAACAACAAAAAGCTCACGGCTCACAAAACTCTCCTGAAACAAAATTCTCTCTGTACATCAATGAGAAAACCTAGCCGCGGTATAAATAGTGCTCCCCAAATCTCAATTTTCTCCCCAAAATTCTCTCGGCCCAACCCTCCGCGTCATGAACCAAATCTCAATTTTCTCTCCACTTTCGGGTCGCACAAAAAATATGTCGGGTCGGGTCATCAACCGGACCGAGTACATAAAATTCAAGACATATTTAACAAGATCTATAATCCATAAAGCAAAGTTCAGGAAGTTGAATGACAACCGAAATCCCAGCTGCACAAGTTTATGTGATCTGCCTGAAGCGGTTCTCCTGCACATCCTAAGTTTTCTTCCAACGAACGATGTCGTGAGAACGAGCGCCTTGTCCAAAAAGTGCGAACACTTATGGGTTTCCGTTCTGAAGCTCAACTTCAATGAAAAGGAATTCTCCCAGAGGTTGCGCTTCATCAACTTCGGGGAGAGAACGTTTTTGCTTCACGGTCTATCTCCCCTGAAAGTCTTTTCTCTCTGGTGTTCCATCCATTACAATATCTCCCGCATCAATGCTTGAATCACTTCTGCTATAAGGCGCGATGTTCAGAAGCTCCGGTTGTGCCTTGATGTAGACAAACGTGCTGCCGTAAGTTATAGGTTACCATATTGTGTACTTAGGTGCGAAACGCTAACAGAATTGCATGTAGAAATGAGTCGTCATGTCTTCATCAGTTTGTCTGACGAAACTTAAGGCCTTAACTCTCATGTGGGTTGAATTCGCGGACGAGGATTCGGTTGAAAAGCTACTTTCGGGTCCTTCCCTTGAGAAGCTGTCTCTTGACTACTGCATATGGTGGAAGCTGCAGGCTCTTCATATTTCAGCTCCGAAGCTTTTGAGCTTGTCCATTGTTGAACTTGAATTTTGTACGGATTTCAGATGCGATTGCCGGGTATTTATCAATGGAGCTAGTCTCAAGTCCTTTTACTATCATGGCGAATGCGCATATGACTATATCTAGCTCATCCGCGCTTGTTAAGGCTGCTATCTCCGTGGATCATCCGTTCGAAGAGAAGTCGTACCAATTCTCGTTCCATGGATACAAGCTCTTAAAAGATGTTGCTAATGTACAAAACTTGACTTTGTCTTATGACGGCCTTCAGGTATACTCCTCCGAACACATGTTTGATTCATTGTCATCATTCTTCAATGTTTGGATTATATCTGATACTTCAATTGGTTTGATCTAATCTATGAACCTCCTGACATTTTCCTAAGGATTTGAACGAAAGAAAGAACTTCCTCAGCTCGTTACCCGTCTTTGCTAATCTTAAGAAATTGGAATTGAACATGTATCGCGCATGCTTGGAATCTAGAGCACTTCAAACAATTCTCAGCAAATCTTCTTGTTTGGAGAGTCTTGAGTTCCTCTCGGTAACCACTCCGTCCCTACTCTCTTCCTTTTCCGTTAGCATTTCGTGTTACTAAAAGTTCCGTGATCTCATTTAATTTGGTATGTGATTTTGATTAAGGGCCTGCTTGTGGAGTCCAGAACGGATGAAGGGATACCGGATCCAGTGCCTCGGTGTTTCCTGTCGTCGCTCCGAGAGATTACAATTCGCGACTTTCATGAGGATGATGATCAACTTTTAGCTGTATGAGTTATGCTTAGGATGGCTAGGGTTTTGGAGAAATAGTTATACATAGTTCCGAGCATTATGTAGGGCGTTCTCCAGAGAAGTTGATGGAACGCTTGAGAGAGATCCCTAAGGCTTCATATCAGTGTACGATTTTGTTAGGGCCCGTTTGGCAACGTGCCAAATAGTGAAAATTTATGTTCTTTTGTTTCCAGAATCAGTTTGAGAACAGAAATCTGTTTGTTAAAATTTTTGTGCCCGGGCACACTTTTTCAAAAAATTGGTCCCAGAATCAGTTTTGGAACAGAATCAAGAAGCAAAAAAAATTAGCTTTTTTATTCTGGAACAATTTTTCCGGAACCGATTCTTCTTAGTTTTCTTCATTTTTTTTTATTTGTTCTTCATCTTCTTCCCGGCCCACCGCCGGCCCGCCGCTGGCGACCGACCACCGGCGACCAGCCAGGACCGGCGAGGGTGGCCCTCAACGCCCCCAACGACGGCGAGGTCGGCCCCCGACGACGGCGAGATCGGTCTTGCCCAGATCTAGCGAGGCCAACCTCGCCGTCGCCGGGGGCGGCAACGGCGAGGTCAAGCCTCGCCCGGCCAAGGCGAGGCCGACCTTGCCGTCACGGGGGGTGGCGACGGCGAGGTCGGCCTCGCCAGATCTGGGCGAGGTCAAGCCTCGCCCGGCCATAGCGAGGCCAACCTTGCCGTTGCGGGGGGTGGCGACGGTGAGGTCGGCCTCGCCATGGCCGGGCGAGGCTCGACCTCACCCAGATCTGGCGAGGCCGACCTCGCCGTCGCCACCCCCCGCGACGGCAAGTTTGGCCTCGCCTTGGCCGAGCGAGGCTCGACCTCGCCGTGATTTGGCGAGGCCAACCTCGCCGTCGCGACCTACTAGGCCGACGGTGAGGGCCGCGACGCCCACGCCAGCCATGGCCAAGGGAAAAAAAGAAAAAAAAAAGGAAAAACAAAGAAAGAAATATTAAAAAATTCAAAATATTATTAATAAAAAGAAATTTTGTATAGTTACCAAACGTATTTATGTTCTTTTTCTATTCTAAGAATAGAAATTTTGGGCAGTTACCAAATGCCTTCAAATGCTTAGAAATTGTTTCCGGGCACAGAATCAAAAAGAATCATTTCTGACCAGAATCTGTTTTCGGACACAGATTGGTTGCCATGCGCAGCCTTAGTCTAACAATTCTTGCATTTCCAATTAATTCAGGTGTTTATGATTCTATATTGCAGTTGCTTCGAAAGTTGTTTAACCCTATCTACACTTTGGAAATGAAGGGATATTGTCTACATAATGTCATTCAAATTTAACTCATGAATCTTGCGTTTGAGTGATTCTGGTTGCGAAAAATAAGCTATCGAACAAGAAAATGGATCAGAAATTGAATTATGCCTTCGGTCAATACGACCTATTCCATGAGGAAAGCATCATATGAGTCTACTATTGATTGCGCTTGATACAACAGAGATTACTATCACACTCAAATCACTTAAGAATTTGCCAGGGCCGAATTACATCTGATAATTTACATGATATTAAGCCCTCAACTATTTGTGAGCCAATCTCTCAATCTCGTAAAAAGAATTAAAAGATCTACCACAAGATTTATTGGCTTGAACATCAGAAACTCCTCTTGAATAAAATTCATGAAAAAAAAATCTACTTCTTCGATAGAAAAGATTCACATCCAAAATAGGAAACTTTTTTCTTGGAAAATCTGCTTGAATCAGGTTTCCTTTATAGGTTTAAAAACGAGACATATCCTCAACAGTTCTCCACCACACTTGGTGTTTCGAGAAATTTAGCATGATCATGTGTTCGACATTGTACAAATTGGATTGGACATGTAAATCACGTTTTGTGCTAATTATGATTTGATGGTGAAAGACTTCACTTTGTTCGAAATATTTGAATAAGCTTATTGATAGAAGTAGGATTAACAAAGAAAAAAGACAAATATGTAAGTAGGCCTATTGATGGTAGCCCACTTGAGCCGCGGAAAATAGGACAAAGCATTCACTAAGCCACGTAAACGGCCCGTCTCATTTCAAAGAAGTTAATTAGAAAATTAAGACGACTCGCGCTTTTCCAACAAAAAATTTCACCTTATCCTTCAAGTTTCGAAATGTTCAAGATTGGAAGGGCATGAGAATTTTGATAATTTTATGGTTTTCGAGGAACGGTGTGATAACTTATTGCAATTTTTTGTAACTCATATGCGTAATATCATGACACATAAAAATTTATAGATTTTCCAATTAACGGCCGAGATTTCCCTCTTTTTAGCTGACAATCATCAAGGGGTTGGGATCCGCTCCCCGACAATCTTTAGTGACACTCCTAGGTATAACAAGGGACTCGAGAATCACAATGCATGAAGTAAGGAGAAATTGTCCCATCAGACTTAAATCTATTGTACAAATATCAATTCAATGTTAAACTTTACAATGTTGTTAATTTATTCCTAAAACTTTGCGCGAACTTCTAATGTAGTTCTTCTGACCAATTTTCGTTGGAAATCGCTGACGTGACTAGTCATTGCTGCCCATCCTACGTAGCATACTATCATATCAGCGATTATCCGGCAGAAATTGATTGGAATGACTATATTGGAATTTCACTTAAAGATTTAGGACTACACTAACAAAATTGAACAGTTTAGGACTAAATTGTCATGCATACAATGAGTTTAGAATTGATTGGGTAATTTTCTCCGCGAAGTAATATCAAAGAAAAAAAATTAGAAATATTGGGGTTCACCCTTGACATGTTTCCAACTTGGGATGGTTTGGAAGTGATTTTAGACATGTTTGGAGACGAGATACACGAGCGAAGATAATTTGAACAACAAAGGCTAAAGCCTTTTTAGTTCAACTAGTCACACCACTAGCAGTGTAATTTGGATAATTTGTACTACTTAAATGTTAAATTGATTCCACTTTTAGAGTAACCGGTTTTTATTCATAGTTATAAATCAAGTAGATTTGTTTATATGATAAAGCATTTTGAATGAAATAGGTTAATCTTGAGCGATAATGTGTTCGTCAAATAACATTTATCTTTGAAGCATAAATAATTCGATCAATGAAATAATGCATACTCCAAAATATAAATGAACGTTGTGGTGATAGCATATAAGATTTCTGTTAAATTTTAAATATTTATATGAGGGGATATGTAAATAAATCTGTCTTTTGATGCACTAAATTGAAGTACTTGAATAGTTGCTATGATAGTCCACTTTAGTCTTTCTACTAGCTCCGCTAGCTTTTGGTGGACATTTTTTGTTTTTTTTTTTTTTGAGATAGTGTACTTGTATACTTTTCTGGTTTTTTGCTACTTTTCCAAAGAAATTGTAAATAATACTTTGGATTCAACAAAGCGGATAAATGTAGAATAATAGCTAAAATTAGGATAAATTAACTTAATTTTTATTGATATATTCCAAGAGTATTTATAAGGATTAAGGTTGGAGCTTTTGTTTATGGACTTTGTTTTGTTAAAATAGTTCAATGCAATGCATAACACAAACATATTTATTTGTAGATCCCTCGACTTAAAATTTTAAACTAAAAAGAACTAATGGTGAAATACAACAACCTTTCCAACGAGAAAAAACCGGAGAAAGGATTATTTTATTTCATTCAATAGCAAGTTCTAGGATTTAAATATAGGAAACGAAAGTTTTAAGAGCAAATTGCATTATCGAGATAAGTTTCCAAACTCTTGATATAATTATACCCATAAACATTAAAATTTCTGAAGTGTTCACGCCTTTACCTTTATCTAGAGATAGCAAAGTTAATTCTACATTTCCTGAAAATTTGCTTATTTCACGCGTGAAAGTTTGTGACACATTAAAGTCACATAAATTAAGGCACCTAAACGTCAAAACTAATTACTTGCGGTTGTTAGTTGTGGTGAATTAATTACGAATGAAACGTCATTCCTCTCAAGAAGAAGGATTCCTTTCAATTCAAAAGTTGACCAAGGATTGACGCGACAAATGATTTCCATGCAGAAAGAACCTTCTACACCTGGCTCGATGCAAATAGAACTTTCCACTCCTGGCCTTCTTTATGATAGCTCTCGGCATGTCGACTTAGCTATTTGACCAAGGATTGACTTGACATGTGGTTTTCATGCAGAAAGAACGTGCTACACCATATGTAGTCAAGCTAGACGCCTGAAGTGACACAACTTAAGTCGAAAAAATTAGTGATTTGATTGCAAAATCTACTAAAATTCGGTAGTGAAAATTTATGTCATGCACGAAGGAGAAGAGTAATCAACTCGGGAAGTGAGGATCTTTCAAGTTTTTTGTTGGCCAGTAGATCCTTTTGCGTTGAGACTTGAGTCTCTCTACCTTTGACCAATGATCTTTAACATCAAATTAAATTGACACTTCATAAATTTAGTAAAAATATTAAAGCTGTCGAGTCTCCACCTTTGACCAACTATCCTTAGCATAGGAAAATGAATATCTTTGCAGTAATTACTTTAAAATGGGATACATCATTTAAATGTTGAAAAATCGGGAGAAAATTTTCAAGAAAGTCCTAAATATATTGCACTTGTGCCAATTTGGTTATAAACATTTCAATTTGGCCAATTTAGTTCTAAATATTTTGATAATTTTTCAATTAAGTCCTTCCGGTCAATTTTCGCCAACAATCACTAACGCGGATGTTGGCCATCCTACATGGCACAGCCAACACTAATGTAGACAATTATTGCAATTTTTTTGAATTTTGAATTATTCTTTTTGTATTTGTTGAATTTTTATCTTTTCTTTTCTTTTTTCTCTTTGCTTTTTTTCATTGTGAAGGCCTCGCGCACAGCTGGTGGGGGCCGCAAAGAACCTGGGCAAGGCCATCGCCGCCTCACCAGCCACAGGCGAGGCCTTCGTAACCACAATAAAAAAAAGTGAGAAAATTAAAAAAAGAAAATTATAAAAATTATAAAATTGTCAACGTCAACGCCTGCTATGCCACGTAGGACAATC